CATTAGGTGTCTTTGGTTTGGAAAGACTGTTTTCAACAGAATCCTTGGATCAAGCTTTGGCTGCTTCATAAGAAATTGGGCAAACACTTTTCCCAATGAAATTGGAAGGTTTTTGGTGACATAAATGTAAGGGTTCAGGAAGCTGAAATAATTGTGGCTCTGATAGAAAATCAGTTGGAAACTAATCATGAAGTTGGTGCAGATCCCTTAGTGGCAAATGAAGAGTTAATGAATGCCATTGCTTTGCAGGAGGAGTTCTATGCCCAAAAAGCTGCTAAGATTAAATTATGTGAGGGAGACAGAAATTCAAAGTACTACCATGCTTGTATTAATTATAGTAGGAAATGTAACACAATGCATAAGATTATGGATCCTAATGACAATTGGCTAACTTCTGCTGAGTCAATAGCCTCCAGTGCTGTGAATTATTTCCAAGAGATTCACTCAACCTCAAACTTGTAGAGCCCCTATTGAGAAGGATCTTCACAGTGGGGTCTTGGATTATACAAGGAGTATTGATCTTGCTTTTGTGCCAGAATAGAAGGAGATCTGGGAGGCCTTAGCAGCCATTGACAGCTCTAAAGTGGCAAGTCCTGATGGGTTCACTGCTGATTTCTACAAGAAGGCTTGGAATATTGTTAAGCATGATGTTATTGAGGCTATCCAGAGCTTCTTCAAGGGTACTGATCTCCCCACCTATTTCTCTTGCTCAACTATTACCCTGATACCCAAAGACAAGTCTAAGTCTAAATGGGAACACTTTAGACCTATAAGTCTCACTACTGTAATGTCTAAAATTATTAGCAAGGTGATAGTTGCTAGGTTTCAACCTCATCTTCCTCAGCTTATCAGTGACAATCAGTCTGCATTTGTTAAGGGCAGAAGTATCGTAGATAATGTATTGATGGCTCAGGAATTGGTTATGGATCTAGAAAAACACTGCAGAAGGGGTAATGTGATCCTTAAGTTGGATATTAAAAAAGATTATGACACTATCCATTGGGGCTCCATTGAGGAAGGACTTATGGCTAGGGGATTTTCTTCTTCTGTCATTTCTTTCATTAATAGATGGTTGTCCAACAACTATCACTCTATTTTTATTAATGGCACCTCTCATGGCTTCTTTAGTGCATCTAGAGGTATTAAACAAGGTGATACTCTATCTCCCACAATTTTTATCCTTGCCTTTGATTATTTTTCAAGGATGCTTAATCATTTGGCTTCAGGGCTCCTCACACTTTATACAGTCATAAATCTAATATGATTATTAATCACTTGGCATTTGTTGATGATGTGAATATATTCTCTAAAGCTACTAAATCTGCAGTGAAATTACTTCTTCAATGCTTAGAGCAGTTCCAATCCCGTTCTGGTATGAGGTTCAATCCCCAGAAATGCTTGCTTATTTTAGCAATAGAGTTAAAGCAGATAGTAAACACTGAATCTCTGATAGCACTGGCTTCTGCATCAACTCTCTCCCTCTTAAATACTGGGAGTTTTTTTTTATAAAAGGGAGGACTAGACAAATCCAATATGACCACATGGTAGAAAAAGTTCAGGACAAGCTGCAGTGTTGGGTGAACTCCTTTCTGTCAAATGGGGGTAGAGTTACATTATTGAGTGTTTTGCTACCCTTCCTTCTTACTTATCTCAGATGGCTGTTATGAAAAAATCTATTACATTAGAAAAACTATTCAATCGTTTTCTTTGGTCTGGTCAGAGGAAGCAATCTCACTGGGTCAGTTGGAAGAATGTATGTAGGGCAACAAAAGCTGGGGGGCTGGGTTTTAAGAGCTTTCAGCAAATCATTCATACCAATTTTTGCAAACTTTGGATCAGGTTTAGAGCTCAAGCCTCCTTATGGGCCAAATACATAACGGGTAAATATTGCAAAGAGCAGCACTTTTCTTTTGTGCAAAGGAGGTTGGGGGACTCAAAAATCTGGACTAATATGCTCAAGGTGAGAGAGGAGTCTAAAAAGCTCTTCATTTGGGAAGTGGGAGAAGGCAACCTCAGCTTCTGGTTTGATAACAGGACATTAGAGGGCAACCTTTCCTCCAATTTTCCATCTGTTGTTGAGGAATCTCTAAAAGTTGTTGATCTATGGTCTGATAATGGTTGGAAACTTCAAGCCCTTCATTCACTGGTTGATACTCCTGTGGTTAATAGTATTATGAAAATCCCTATTGATTTCCAAGAAAGACAGATTGGTAGTTAAGAAGCACCTCTCCCACACTATGTCTTCTTTCATTATGGCTAAATGCTTTCCACAGCAGGAGGTCAGCTAGGGAACAAGGATTTGGAATAGATTTCTTTCACCCTCAATGTCCTTTTTTTGCTGGAGGGTATTCCATAAACTATTACGCACTGATGATATATTGAAATTAAAAGGATTGAGGGGCCCCTCTTGGTGTGTTCTGTGCAGGAAGCATCAGGAGTCTATGCAGCATTTGTTTTTAAACTGTTCAGAGGTGCAACAGGTTTGGAGGTGCTGTTTGAACAAACTTAAGATTCCTACTTTACAGTTAAACTAGATGAATTTTTTCCAGTGTTGGCAAGAATGGCTGGACAGCAAAGCTTTTGTGGTGTCATGTATTGTGGCTTGGTTTGTTTGGATGGCTAGAAACAAAATGAAATTTGAGAATTCAAATATGGAGGTTAACAGGTTTGCTACTCACTGCCTAGCTTACATTCAGAAGCTCTCAAAATTTAGTAAATTTCCTGATATCTTGATTTCTACAGCTCAAAGGGTTCCTCAGGCTCCCAAGTTCTCTTTGATTTGTTGGCAGCACCCTCCCCCCGACTAGGTAAAGATTAATACTGATGGGAGTTTTCTTGCACCTCATGCTGATAGGGGGGGTCTTCAGAAACCATGTTGGGGGTTGCTTACTATCCTTTCACTCTCCTGTTTGGGCTAGGAATCCTTTGGAAGCAGAAGCTATGGCTATTTTCTGGGCATTTTCCTTTGCTAGAAGGTGTGGTATGGGGAAGCTTTGGGTTGAATCTGATTCCCTCAATCTTATTAACATCTTATTAACATTCTTATATTAACATTCTTAATGGTATTATGAGCAGTCAATGGAATTTGGTTTATTGGATAACTGGTATTCATATTCTGAGGAGGGGCATTAGTGTTAATTTTTCTTTATTCCTATGGAGGGGAATAGACCTGCGAATTTGTTGGCAAGATTTGGGCTTCATTCTGAAAAGTCTTTCATTAGCAGCAAGATGGTGAGGATTTAGATTTTCTTTTGAAGGGAGATTGTATGTCTCTCCCTTTTATTAGAGCTTCTATGGGTTAAGGGGAGCTTCTATGGGTTAAGGGGCTGGTTTTGTGTGTGATCGCTTTGTGTTAGGATCCACATAGTGTTTTTTTCTTTTTTGTACTTTTTGCTTTTTTTAATGAAATTTGGAGCTTTTTTAGCTCCTAAACAATATATATATATATATATATATATATATATATATAGCTTGGTTACCCCGTTGTGCGAGTATATATATATATATATACATACATACATAATAGACATTCATAAAATTAATTATTATAAAAATTTTATATTCTAACGAGTCAATTTCGAGCCGAACACGAACATTTCAAGTCGAACACAAACACACTGTTCACGAGTCATTTCGAACACGGGCCACTTTCAAACACAAGCCAATTTCGAATGAGCCGAACACGAGCATGTTTGAGCTCGCTCAGGCTCGACTCGTTTATAGCCCTAGTCGGATCTTTGCTACACTGTATTCGAGATATTTTGTTGCACAGTATGTAGAACATTGCAATTCTTTGTAGGCAAAAAACCTTCGCCACTCAATAGAATACTTCGCTATCCCACAATGTACACCACTACTCCACATGATACTTCATTAGTCCGCAATATGCGTCGTTACTCCGCAATATGCGTCGTTACTCCGCAGAGCCCACCAACGGCGGCTAACAGGGGACATCCGACGGTGATCGACGACGGCTGATGAGTGGCAATCGGCGGCTACAAAGGCTGAAAGGTCTTCAGTTCATATTAGCATTGGAAATGTGCTCCTCTTTCATCCTTCCCTCTTAAGTGATAAGAAAGAGTCTATTTATTGGCCTTTGAAGAAGGGTATTTCTGTCTTTTAGCAAATAACAACCATAACCACCCAATCAAACGACCCATGTTGGTTCCCCTTGATCATAGGTTGTTTATATATGATCTGATGGCCTTAATGACCTCAAATTCAGGTGATCTTGTGCCCATTAGATTCCTCTCATGGAGACTCGATTTGACTATAAGCACGTCAAATTTAGAGTACATTTGACTCTCCAATTAATCACTCAGAGCCTTCAAAAGTGGCTTAATGGCTTGATCCATACTTGATTAGACTCAAATTGCATTAATTTTAGTATAATTGGGTTTGTCTCATCCAGTTGATCAGTTTGATTGTAACTTTATTGAAATCGGAGTTCTAGATGATTTTAAATTTGAGCATGAATGTTTTTTGCTCAAAAAATGTCTTAAGATCCATGTCAAAAAGGACCTAACTAAGACTTTTGTTGATGATGCATCAAAATATAAATATATAGGCAAATAAATGAAAAATAAAGGGAAATTAACATACATACCACAGTTCTTATCCATTTACATATCTAACACCCAATTTTTTATATTTAACACTTAACAAACTTTGGTGTGTTAAAATCATAAACTTTGGCATGCTAAACCTATGCATAAGAAATGTGTATTTTACTTTTAGAAAGATGATGCTGGTGGCATTTTTGTATGTAAAGGTGAGTGATTAGGTGTTAGATTGTAAATACATAAGAATTTTGTGGTAAGTATGTAAATTCCCCAAACATATTTAGCAATTAAGACAAGCCCTTTCCTTATTATTGGTTTTTATGCTGTTAAATGGAATCTTAAAAAAAAACTATAGTTTAAAAAGACAATATGCAATGAGTGGGAATAATTCCGTCTACAATATTGTGAAATGAAGGTTATCGTAAGATATAAACATACCAGAAGTGGATTAATCGGATCCCATTCTTTCTTTGGAAGCCATTTCTGCAAACACACTCTTGTTTCTTCAGGAGAACGCGTTTTCTAGCAAATTAGCAAAACAGAATGAACATATTAAAGTTCTTATTACTCAAAAATGATGACATGGAGCTACTAATAAACAAGAAAGTAGTAACATACAATGCATGGTAGATTTTATATATTAATTTCAATTTTCAATATCTTTATTCTTTCAATTTTTTGGCTAGCTTCTTGTAATAATACAAAAATAAAAATAAAAAATTAGGAAGAAAAATTAATATACCGTATGATTTAACCACACAGTAAATAAAAAAAATGGGAATTTTTTTTTACTATTTAATATTTTAACCTAAAAATATACAACAGCAACAACAACAAAACCTTTATCCGATTAAGTGGGGTTGGCTAAATGAATCCTTTTTCTCCATTGCATCCTATTTAGTATTATATTTCATTTAATTCTAATAAATTAAGATCATTTTTTATACAATATGCCCAAGTCTTCCTAGGTCTACCTCTGCCTTTCTTAACATAAGGTGAATCTAAAACATCTACTATTCTAATCGGATCATCAGATGGTCTACGTTTAGAGTGACCAAACCATCTAAGACGAGTTTCTCTAATTTTGTCCGTCACTGGAGCTACACCAACCCTATCACGGATATATTCATTTTGCATTTGTCTCCAAATGTAAAGCCACTCATCCACCTAATCAATCTCATCTTGGCAACACTTCAACTTAGTTCTATGCTTCACTTTTAAAAGCCAACATTCAGCACCATAGAGCATTGCAGATCTCACCACCACTTATAAGATTTTCCTTTCAGCTTAAGCGGTACTTTTCTATCACTCAACAGGCCCGAAGCATTCATTCACTTCAACCGAATAACTCTAATTCTACTAATAAAATCCTCATCAATATCACCATCACTTTGACCAATAGACCCGATATATCTAAAGCGTGTAAGCCTTTTAATAATTTAACCTAAACATATAATTAGTTAAATCTTAAAAATTAAAAAAGGAAAAGCTCTTTTCAAATGAATTCTTTATCTTATTTAAGATAACACAAATAATTAGAAGAGTAAATCCATATATAAATTAGATTAGATATCGGATTAATAGATTGTATATGATTAGTTATATTTAAATTAAAAAATATTTTTCTCTACTGATAGAATTCAAAATCAAAATTTTGAGAACACTCCAGTTTTAAATGGACTCCTCTACTTTTATTGAGCATTAATATGGAAGATTTTCTCAATTGTACTTAATAATATGTACATAAATGGTAACAAAAAATGGAGAGAAGTGTTTAAATGAACCCCTAACTCTTTATAAGGGTCTATTTTAGTCCTAAGAGTCTATAAAAGTGCTAATTTACTCCACTCATTTAATGAGTAATAAAATAGTCCTTCATAAGCACTATTTCAATCGATATTAAAAAAAAATCTACAAGCTAATTTAGCAATTTTATAGACTCTGGGACTAAAATGGCCACATATAAATAGTTAAGGGACTATTTTAACAATTTACTATAAAAACAAAATGAGATAACCTTCGAAATAGTAAAGCACCTGCATTGTGCCCGGTTGTGATACCCATCCCAAACGATTACTGATGCGGTGCACATGAGTGTCAACACATATTCCTTGCACATTATTCCATGCAACGTTCATAACCTGTTTTAAGCTTTAAATTTTAAAAAAATAACACAAGCTAAGGAAGCAAAAGACACAAAAAACTATGAAAACTACCAGATAAGCCATTTTAGGACCAACTCCAGGAAGTGAAAGCAAGTCATCCAGAGAATTTGGAATATCCCCTCCATACTTGGCGAGACAAACTTCAGCTACTTTCTTCATGTACTTGGCTTTCCTCAAGTAAAATCCAACCTATCATAAGCCAATAACAAATGAAGAAAGATTTACATACATAACATTCAATTCTTATGTATTTACATATCTAACACCTAAACTTTAATTTTTACATACATACAACCTTACTATGCATGAAAAGGTGTATTTCACATGTTAGAAGTTAAAATGGTGGTATTTTTTATATGATATGAATGGTTTGGATTGTACACATGTATGTAAATCTATAGTAATTGGGTTTATCATTTAGATGGAAATGACTATAAAGGATGAATTCAAGAAGCTCTAGGATGATGCCTAAACTTTTCACAATCAGCCTTTAAAAAAATCACGCCATCCCTTTGTTGACAACAATGCCTAAAACATCGCAAACTAGCATGCAATCCCGTAAAACAGCATGGAAGGTAAAATGTTGTTTCAGCTTAAAATATGGATTGATCACTAAGACCCTTAGTTAAATTGATACAGCGCAAGAACAAAAAACAAGTTTAGGTTGAACCATATGAGTTTATGAAATTAAATTATATTTCTTTTAATAGGTTATTTAATTAAAATTAAGTAAATATTATCCATTTAGATAATCTTGAGTTTAAATTTCAATTAGTCATTACAATTAGATTTCAATTTGTATGGGATTAAAATTGAATTTGAGTTGTAACATTAATTCTATGAATAAAGCATGTTACATGTACTTCCCTTTATGATAGACTGAATTAAGAATTTTCTAAAAAACTATTCTACTCTCTCCTTTAACTGATGCTGCTCACTAGGAAAAGAAATTGCTCCCCAAATCCCTCCACCACCATCTTCCCTCCCACCAACCCCCC